AATGATGTGGCATCGTCGTCTAGGTCATGCAAATGCAAAGAACTTGAATCGACTTGCGAAAAATGAATTGGTCCGCGGGTTACCCGTCAAAGATTTCATTACTTTTGAAAAATGTGTTTCATGCGCTCAAGGAAAACATCATCGGAAACCACACCTTCCTAAGCAGATAAACTCCATAAGTTAAGTGCTCGAGTTGTTGCATATGGATTTATTTGGTCCGGTCAATGTTCTAAGCATCAATCGAAATTCATACTGCCTTATTGTGATAGATGATTACTCACGTTTCAGTTGGGTTTTCTTTCTATCTAACAAAGCAGGAATTGCTGACCTCATCAAAAGATTCATTGTTATGATCGAAAATCAGACTAACAATTGAGTGAAAGCGCTGCGTACAGATAATGGAGCAGAGTTCAATCGCTGTTCTTGATCATTTTTGCGTTGAGAAAGGGATTGTGCGTCAATTCAGTTCTGTTCGAACACCTCAACAAAACGGGGTTGCCGAACGTCAGAATCGAACTCTAAAAGATGCTGCAAGGATGATGCTCTGTGATTCCAAGCTTCCTGTATTCTTCTGGGCAGAGGTGATTAACACCGCGTGTTATGTTCAAAATCGTGTGCTGATCAACAAAGCCAGAATGAAGACACCATATGAAATTCTATTTGGACACAAGCCATCCGTCAGTCATTTCCGAGTATTTGGCTGCCCTTGCACCCTTCTTGACTTGGATTCCAATCCCAAATTCAATACCAAAGCTGATGACTGTTACTTTGTTGGATATGCTGCTTGAACTGCGTACAGGGTTTACAACAAGAAGACTAAACAAATTGTAGAATCATTTGATGTTCGCTGGCTCGAAGAAAATGAGACAGATGCAAGAGTAGGTCCTGATTGGTTATTTGACTACACATCTCTTTTCAAATCATTCAATGTGTCTTTAGATAATCAAGAAGAATCTATCTCTAATTCGAAGATTCTTATTGAAGACGAAGAAGATGAAGTTGTCTACCGACCACCACTGATTTCCTCTGATCCTCCATTGGTATCCTCCATTCCCACTGAATCTTCTGAGTCTCCTCAACAAGTTTCTCCTGATGCTGTTGCTACTCCTTTAACTCCGATGGAGAGAGAGTTCATGAACCACGAGACTTCCGCTGTCACTTCTAATCTGATGGAACTTCTCTTTCCAGAAAATATTGCTGACGAGTTTGTAGCAGATCCTTCAAACGAACCCATTTCATCTTCTACGGGTCATACAACAAATGATGGAGTGGTAAATATTCACAATCTTCATGTCTCTGTCAATGATATTAGTTATCAAATCCCTGCACGCATTCAGCGCGATCATCCGATAGAGAACGTCATTGGCCAGCTAAGCGACGACGTTCAAACGAGAAGTAAAAGCGGAGATGTTAACACATGTCTCTACTCTTGCTTCATATCTCAAATAGAGCCCAAATCTGTCGAAATGGCTCTGAATGAGCCCAGCTGGGTTGAAGCCATGCATGATGAATTAAATCAATTTGAGAAACTTGGAGTTTGGAAATTGGTGGAGCTGCCAAAAGGAAAGAAATCTCTTGACACTCGTTGGGTATTTCGAAATAAACAAGACGATTCCGGTGTCATTGTGTGCAACAAGGCAAGATTGGTGGTTCGAGGGTTTGGGCAAATTAAGGGTCTTGATTATACAGAAGTTTATGCTCTGGTTGCTCGTTTGGAAGCCATTCGCATCTTCCTTGCTTATGCTTCCTACATGAACTTTACTGTATACCAAATGGACGTCAAGATAGCTTTCTTGTACGGCAAGGTCAAGGAGGAAATTTACGTTGACCAACCACTTGGTTTTGTTAACTCATCCCTTCCAAACCATGTCTACAAGTTAGATAAAGCTTTGTATGGATTGCATCAAGCTCCTCGAGCTTGGTATGCTACTCTTACTCGGCATTTGCTCAGTCACGACTATTCCCGAGGCACCATTGATCAAACCTTATTTATCAAGCATGTCGGTCTAGATCAAATTCTCGTTCAAATTTATTTGGATGACATCATATTCATGTTGACAAGCCAACAGCTTTGCAAGGAGTTTGAAGCGGTGATGAAGAAGTGCTTTGAGATGAGTTCGCTTGGGGAAATGACCACGTTTTTGGGGCTTTAGGTCAAACAATCTTCAACCGGAATCCTTATTCATCAAGCAAAATATGTGGATGATGTACTAGAGAAGTTCGGGTTTCGAGATGCAAAACCTGCTCTTACACCCATGGCGGAACGACCTCTTCTGACTCCTGATCTTGAGGGTGAATTCGTAGATCAAACTCATTATCGATCAATGATCGGATCACTCGTGTATCTTACTGCTAGTCGCCCAGACGTCATGTTTGCGGTCTGTCAATGTGCTTGCTACCAGGCTAATCCTAAACTCTCTCATTTAATTGCTGTTAAAAGGATTTTTCGGTATCTCAAAGGGTGCCCAAAACTGGGTCTTTGGTATCTGAAAAATCCCGAATTTGATCTTTATGCTTTTGCAGACAGCAACTATGGCGGGTGTGAGCTTGATAGAAAATCGACTTCAAGAGGATGCCAATTTCTAGGAGATAGATTGGTGTCATGGCAATGCAAGAAGCAGCACACGGTCTCAACCTCAACAGCAGAAGCGGAATACGTTGCTCCATCTGCTTGTTGTTCTCAAGTCATTTGGATCCAACATCAGCAGTTGGATTACGGTTTGAATTTTCAAGAAACCCCTCTCTTTTGTGATAATGAGGCTGCGATTCAAATTGCCAAAAACCCGGTCCTGCACTCAAAAACCAAGCACATCGACATCAAAATTCATTTTATCTGAGAATGTTATGAGCGTTCGCTCATTCGGCTTGAACAGGTCCGCTCTTATAATAATGTAGCAGATCTGTTCACCAAGCCGTTCAACAAAGCTCGATTCGATGTGCTAGTTAATTTTCTTAAAATGATTCGTTTTGAGGATTAAATTTTTTATGCTTAGTTTAGATTAGGATAAAGTTGCGCATTTTTATTTTATTTTTTTATGCACAAATTTAGGGGGAGAAAATTAGAAAATCCAAAAACATAAAAAATTAGAAAATCCAAAAACATAAAAAATTAGAAAATCCAAAAACATAAAAAATCAGAAAATTCAAAAAAATCAGAAAATTAAAAATCTTAAAAAAAAAAATATACATCTGTGTTTTATGATATGAGCTGGGAGGTGATATGATCATGTGATAACAGGCAACCTGAGTCTGTGTAACGTACTCAAAGTTGAAGGGTCTATGCTTTGGTCTGATGCGTTGGTAGGCACGAAAAATTCTAAATGCACATGACTAGGCATAATTGAACTTAAGGAATCAAATGACTTGACAAATCTTGACCTAGTTAGATCCGTTTAGCTTGACAATACGACGCTCGGATAGGTTGAGCAGGGACATATATATGGGAATCTACTCGTCACATTAATGAACCCATATCTGGAATCGTGGTTTAACTTTTCCTCCATGTGCGGATTTTGTCCTTAATTCCGGTTTTGATGGGGCGACTGGTAAATTCCGATAAATTAGGTCTGTAGAAAATCATTTTCTTTCTTTCTGTCTGTTAGTCATATGTTACCTCCTCTGAGTGAGGGGAAGAGATCCGATCTGGACTGTAACATATGCAACTCTATTTCTCTGCATATTATATATATGAAATTCCTCTTATCTGTTAGCCATATGCTGTCTCCTTTGTGTGACTAACAATCCGACCTGGTACACAGCATATGCATCCTTCTACTTCTCAATCCCTCTAAAATAACAATACTCTGAATCTATCTTCTTTCTTAATCATGGTCTGCTCATTCGATGTAAGGAGTACTCTGGGAGTCCTTGATTACTGGGGCATATTTGGAAGCGGGAAACATGTTCCAGTACAATTAAAATTGAACACTCAATGATTGTCTATAGATCTCGCTGCTCAATTTAGGTGGACAACAATATCCCTGGTCGTCGTCAGCTGAATGATCCTTAAGATATATTATCTAGAAACTTAGGATCAAATATAATATCTAGGAATTTAGGATCACATTGTCTTGTCATTTAAAGTATGTGCTAATTTTGTCACAATTTTTCGTGTTTAAGTGGACAACAATACCGATGATCGACCAGACAAAAACGTGAAGATAGAAGGTACCGACAAGCGGATAAAGGATGTCTAAAAAATTTGATCCCTAATCATACTTAAAAAAAAAATTTATTTTTTTTTATTTTTATAGCAATTTAAATTTCATTTCGTTTTATTTTTATAGTTATCTTTTATTTTATTTTATTTTATTTTATTTTTATTCTAATTTTATTTTTATTCTAATTTTATTTTTATTTTTAGTTTATTTGATTTGATTTTATTTTGTTTTTGTTTTTAGATAATATAAATATTTTATCCTCAAAACCTTTTATTTTTTGAAAATTGTTGAGAAGATGGGGTTTGCGGTTGTAAATTAGAATGATAAGGGGTTTGCTGTTGAATTTTAGAAAGACAGGGGGAGAAAATGAAAATATTCTTTATATATATATATATATATATATATATATATATATATATATATATATATATATATATATATATATATAGTGTGTGTGCGGTGAGGCTTTTCTCCTCACTATTCCAAACCTCAACTGCACACTCAATCGTTTTCTCTCTCAAATCATTCATAGTTTCCATTATTTTCGGAAGATTACAAAGCTGGTATACGGTAATTTTGATGAACACGGATCACTATTACAATTTATTTTCGAAAATGTTTCATGGTTTGCTGCTAAATCTTCTTTAAAATATGTTTGTGCTTGAATGTGACCGCACATGGGGTGTGCGGCCACACACGGTGTGTGTGCGGCTGACCATGTGCGGCTGGTGAACTTGTGTGTTGCCTAGACGTGTGCGGCTGAGTTCATTTCCATGTGCGGGTAGTTATTCTTTAAATGTTTTCCCTAATAATTTTTGTGTGCTTATTTTCATAATCAAAATGGGAGACTCGGATTTCGCTAAGGTCCACAACTCTTCAATTTTTCTTGAAGACCCTCCTACACCTCATAACAACATGAAATTCATTGTGGATGGTCTGAAGAAGTCGTGTTTGGTTCATGCTCTGACCATAAGTCCCGCTATCTATCAAAATCTGATTAGAGATTTCTGGAAAAATGCTGTTGTAAAGAAGAACAATCAAGGAGAAAAATTTGTTGAAGCTTCGATTGAGAACAAGCAAATTCAAGTAACTGAACACATCATCAGGGAATCCCTTCAAATTGATGACAGACCTGAGTACCCCATGGAAGTTGACATTCATCAGACTCGGGACGTCTTGGAACATATGGGATATGAAGGATCTTTCCCCCTACTATCACAAAGCTGCTTCCTCCTTGCTGGAAGTATCTAGCTCATATTTTTGTGAGTTGCATCTCCGACATGAGATCTGGGGCAAATGAGATATCCTTGGTCAACACTGGTGCAATTGCAGCATTGGCTGCAGGATTTGAATTTAATTTCTCGAGGTTCATTTTGAATGAAATGATTCTTAACCTGGAAGGAAGTAAAAGAGATAAATTCTTGATGTACCCAAGGTTTGTGCAAATAATCCTTCATGTGACTCATCCCGAGTTGCAGAGAGGAAATGAAGTGTTGGATTTCAAATCCATTGGTCCAAATGCTTTTGGACTGATGAAGCAAAAGAGAGGAGGAAAGTACGTGTTTGAAGGAAAATTTCCTTTGATTAAATTTGGTATCTTTGAAGAGAGTGACAAGGAAGAATGTAAAGAGCATTTTGTTCCAATGGAGACCAAAGACATCTCTCATTCTGCATCTGAGCCAGAAATTGAAGAAATCCATGATTCACCCACAGCCTTTGTAGCTGAAGAGCACGATGTTCAAAAGACTAGTGAATCAAAATCTACTCAAGAAGAGGATGACGATGGTGTCTATGATGATGTAGAGTTCTTGAAAGCAATTGATTTTACGGGAAACAGTGATGATATTACCACACATATAGAGTTTGATCTAAGTGATGAAGATTTTGGCCCTTTTCCCAAGATTCATAGCAACCGTGAAAATAAAGTCGATGAAGCTGATTCTTCAGCAGCCAAGGCTAGAGAAGAAGGAAACAGTCTCAAGATTCTACTCTCCTGTTCAAAGCCCCTGGAGGTCGCTTCAAGTCAAGTAGATGTGACATCAGAGATTCCTCCCTCTGGGTCATCAATCTCAACTACTGCTCCAATCATCCCTGACTCAACACAATCTCAATCCTCTCAGACTTTGACAAAATCAAGCTAATCTTTTGCGAGTCTGGAGGTTCCTGTGACAAGAAATGCACCTCAAGTTCTCTCAACCACTACTAGCACTGTTCATTCTGCTCCTCAACAATCTCAAGAAGGCCCAAGTACTATTTTCGAGACTGGTGGATCTTCATCTATTCCAGAATATTCTTCTACCCGACCATCACTTGATGAAGCCTCCATTAGACTGGCAAAACACTTGGCACAATTTGATCCAGCTCCCTCACGCAGAAAAGGAATATCTTTTAGAGAGGGACGGACAAGTGATGATAAATCTTCTTCACCCGATCTTAGAGAAGAAGTTGGGATTCTTCGACAGGAGCTTTTGGAGAAATCAATTCAGATGGATCAACTTACCGCGTACATCTTTGAGCTCAGGAAGAAAGATGAAGAAAAGACAAAGCGAATTGAAGCATTGGAATCAAATATTGAATCAGTATCAACAAACTACTTCTTTCTCAAGAACGTCTTGTAGGATGCTTTCGGTGAGAGAGTCAAAGCTCTTTTCCAACAGCCTAACGGAATTGTCGATCCTCCTACTGCTCAATCACATTCTGAAAATGATGACTTTCCTATCGATCCACCTGCTCCCAGAAAAACTACTGTCGTAAACAGGTTCGAAAAGGAACCCGAAGGGAGCCGAGCAAGAGTCACAATCAAGCAGGGAAAAAGTATTGTCACTGCTAATCAAAGCGAGGGTCTCTTATTCATGAAAAATTCCAACGAGAATCGCAAAGCAAAAGACCCTGTTCTGACAGTAACAAATTTGAAGAAGCGCAAATTTGGTGACGAGTACGGTGACAGATCTGGTATCCGTATGTGGGCATTCGATCCAGAAACGAATTTATGGTTGGTGAAGTGGAACTCAGGAATATCTGACTGCTACAAAAGCACCCATGATTTCAATTCTTGGACCAAGACTGAGCTTGCAGAATTATCCAGAGTCTCATTTCACAATCCTTCGGAAGATCCAACTGCATCTAGCTTGAAGAGGTTCCTTGATAGACAGGTCAGAGAAAATTTTCCAAGTATGAAGACTGCCAGAGCCCTCTACCGAAAGGATAAAGACGTTCTCGATCCAGAAACAGGCGAACCTATGAAGATTATCCTATGGCCTGCTACAAAGCAACAAAAGGAAATTCCAATCCCTCAGCACTTCCATGAGGGATATCTTGACAATATGGAATTCTAGGCATTTGATGATGAAACTGCAACCGCAGCTATCAAATTCAAAGATCGAGAGCATGTCTTGAGGCTGATCAATGCAAAAGATCTTTTTCGGTTCCGAGAAAGGGATATACAAACTCTGGCTCGTCACTAGATAATCTGCAGAAAAGATGTTATGGAAGCAGCAGCCAAAGAATTCACTGCGATGGTAGCCAATATCATCAATCAAAGAATGTGGTTGGGATCAATGGGAAGGTCTGATCTGCGACTGTTTGAGAAGCCACCTGAGGAGCCAAAGGATTGAAGAGAAGACCATGCTCGTCTCAAACCAAGGGGGAGACTGTTAGAACATAAATTGTGGTTTGAGTTAGGCATCATTCTATTTTAGGAGATTGTGGTAGTGTGTGTAGTTTGGTTGTGTTAGAATATTGTGTGTGTGCTGCCTCACACTCGTGTGCGGCCGCACACGTGTGTGTGGCTGCACACTCGTGTGCTGCTAGTGGTGTCTATAAATAGATGGGTTGTGTGTCAGATTTGTACCTTTTGCTGAACTATGCTGTGATTGTACTTTCTCAAGGTATACCTGACATCTTTTAGTAATAGATGTGTGCATGCTTGATCTGACTTCTACTCCTTCTACATTTCATCTTGTTCACAATTTACTTCATTGATTACTAATTTGGATCCTTTAATTTTGGGGACTTACACTTTCGTATATACCTCTGTAGACAGTTATCACCATCGAGTTTATAAAATGTCACTTTGATCTCCTTGTTTTTAACTTTGTAAAATACTTTAACTTATTAAAAAAAAAGAAAACTAATTTTAATGTATTTGTCCGTATAACTTTGAGGTGGTTAAGGTTTTGACGTAACTTTTGAAATTCTGTATGTTAACTTAAAAAAAATGTATTTGCTTATATATATATATATATATATATATATATATATATATATATATATATATATATATATATATATATATATATATATAGGTTTAGGTTATTCTATTCAAAGTAATTATTGTATTATTGTATGCATAAATGTGGGCCAATCAATTTTACTTATTTTAAGAAAGTGAATACTACATATTACTCTCTCCGTCCCAGTTTTATTGTCCACCTTACTATTTTAGTTTATCCCAAAAATATTGTCCACTACCAAAAGTAGATATACACTTTTACTATATTACCCCTAACATTTAATAAAGTAAACATCAATAATTACAAATACACATTTCAATTGTTTTTAGAAAAGGGCAAGAGGGTTATTTTACTAAAAAAGATAAAACTAATGATTGTTTTTCTTAATCTGTGTGTTTTTTGTCTGTGGACAATAATTTTGGGACGGAGGGAGTATTAAATTAAAGATAATTAGAAAATACCATCTAATTTCATTTTAAGGGTATTTTAGTCAATTAACATAAATTTAAAAAAGGAAAATTGCAGATTTTTAAGAGATAATAGATTCTATTAATTTTAAAAATCTTATTGTAGTGATGATAATTTTCGGATATTCTGACAGAATATATTTATCAAAAATAAAAATATTCTTGAACCATAAAATAATAAAAATATTTTTGAAACTATTTCTTGATCATAACTTTAAAAAACTTCTTGTAGAATAATCAAATTTTGAATCATCAATTGAATAATAAAAGAAAAAATTACATTAATTCTTATAGAATATGGGTAACAATTGCTAAGAATTACATTTATTATTAAATAAAATAAAACTAAAAAAACTTTTAAATCAGGAAAAAAAACATCAAAATCTAACAAAGACGCTAATATATTCTAAAAGAATAATGTTGCTAAGAAACACTTTCAATTTTGTTGTCCGTTCTTCAAGCATCAACTTTTGTGAAAACAAATCCAATTGTAGTTTAGAATCGAATATCGCATTAGCAAATGATAAATAAAAACTATATTCGTTTGGAAAAATATGCGGACTTGTTAACTGCACCACAACCAATAACCAAAAATTGTAGAACATGTATAATCAATGAGAAAATATCCATATTTCATTCCAACAGAATTAGAATTCGTGTTTCCATTCCAATAGAATTTGAATTCATGATTCCATTCCGATAGAATTAGAATTGTATAAAATACACAACCCACTAAGGGATTACTAGAACACTACAAGAAAATCCTGAATAGCTACGGAAATTTGCTACAGCAGTAGAATCCGTAGTTATTCTACTATGGAATATTTTACGGAAAGGCTTGTTGTAGCTATTTTGCTATGGAATTGCATGTCGTAGCTAATAGTTGAATAACTATGGAATTTTGCTACCGAATCAATGTCCGTAGATAGCTTGCAACGGAATTATGATCCATCATGATTTTGCTACGAAATTCCAACGAATCAAATTCTATAGCGGATTTGCTACAGAATTTACTATGTAGACAAAATCCATAGCTATTTTGCTACATAATTAGCTACAAATATGAAGTCCATAGCTATCTTGCTACGACATTTGCTACAAAATCAAAATTCGTAGCAATTTTTCTACAAAATTTACTACACAAAATTTACTACGGATCAAAGTCTGTAGCTATTTTACTACAAAATTTGCTACGGAATCAAATCCGTAGCTATTTTGATAAAGGATTTCCTACAAAATCAAAATTTGTAGCTTTTTTACTACATACATTATTTAGTAATTAAAGTTTGTAGGTAGCTTGCAACAAAATATAAATCAAACAAACTTTACTAAAGTGAAAGTAAATGCTCATAGTCATTGTAACAAAAACAAGCACAAAAATTTAAATTACAAAACACTAAAATTTCACAAGTTTGGAAGTGATGCAAATTTTATTTTTAAAACTTAAACGATTATTAAACTAAATATTCAAACTATGGGTACACCAAAATATCAAATCCTCGTCAATAATGCATATTTAGTTTTGACGTAGGATAAGTTTGGATAACTAACAACTTAATATCTGTAATCAATTTTTAAATTAAAATCCGCAAATATATCGCTACCTTCCATGATATATTCGCCCATTTCCATGTTTTCACCGATAAATCCTCTATACACGATCGCGCCCTGTTTCCAGTTGTACTGCTTATCAACCACCGAATTAGATCTCCGGCGACAAATACTAACCTACTTCAGGAAACCTAACTTCTCTGGGTAAGCATCCGTTTTGAAGCTTCTATCGTCTATCAATTTGTTTTTCTCGAACACACATGTTAACTTGCTATGTAGAACTTTAGGTTTATTAAAATAATCTTTGAATTATGTTTTGGATGATGTTGAGTCTGTTGCAGAACCCTTTTAAAAGATATCGTAGGGTATGGATTTAGATCGACTTTTATTGATATTTATATTTGTAGTTTATACATTGTCTACGGGCCAACAAAGTATGAAAGTAGAAAGCAATTTATTGACTCCTAAAAATTCCTTTTACTTTAAGAATCATTTTAGATAAATCAAAGTTGGGTCGATGAAACGAGTTCACATTGAATCAAATAACGTGAATTTGAGTATGATTGTAATGAAGGGTGTATTCCATGAAGTATGGGTAAGTCCTTTAAAGTTAATAGCACACATGGTTTATTTGGAATTTTATATAATTTTTAAACTGGCCATTGATTTGTGAAACAAGTAGCACTTCATTTCATTCACACAAGAGTTTGCTTGAAGTTTGAGGCATTGGCGGTGAACAATAGAGCCTAGACATATGAGTTTGATTTTCATAACTGACTTAAATATACTTCATTAATTTTTATTTTTGGTTTGTTATTTGCGTTTGTTCCAGTTTTATTCTTCCAAAGTTAGTGTCCTCATGAGATATGCTAACCAGATTGTGAAGAAGTCCAAAAGTAACACCTCTATTGAAGACGACGTCATGGCTAGTTACATAGTAGTCTTTGCAGACATTGAACAATTATCGTTTTTTCATTATGTTAGTTTGCTTTATTGACATCAAACAATTTTTTGAATATCATATTTGGTTGGATGACTTAATATTTTATTTAGAATTTAGGCAATATTTATTTTTGTTTATTGCATTTGTATATTGTTAATTTTTTTAGAAAATTGTTTTAGAAAATATTTTGTATGTATTTTGCTATGAATTTATCATGCGACCATTTTTTTCTACCATATTGTAGTGTAGTTAAATCACTATGGGTTTTCTTATGGAATCTATTCCATCATGTTTTATGCTATGAAATATTTACAACGAAACCAGACATACGAGATTTATTAAAATTTTAGTCTGTAGTTATTCGAGATTTATTAAAATTTTAGTCTCTAGTTATTTTGCTATGGAATATTTACTATGGAGTTAGT